TGCTCCCCAAATTCCTGTGTTGAATTCTCATCCCCAAGATGATGGTATTAGGAGGTTGGGCTTTTGGGAGGCAATGAAGTCAGGACTGGGATTAATATCCTAGTAAAAGAGACCCCAGAAAGCCAGCTTGCCTCTTCTACCACAATAAGACCTAGAAAGAACCAGAAAACAGGCCTTCACCAGACACCAAAACTGCCAGAACCATACTTCGGGACTTCCTAGCCTCTAGAACCATAAGAAACAAACTTCTGCAGTTTGTAGGCTATCCCATTTGTAGGATGTTGTTACAACATCTGGAATGGAAGAAGAGAGTGCTGATTTTATATTCCTGGAATGAGCAGATAGTCTTTGGAGAAAGAAAGAACACCATCTGGACCAGGGTATTCTACAGACCCTAGCATGGAAGTTAATATGGTTACTAACTGTGGTCAAAATGTGCAGGTCTGTGGAACTGTCAACCAGGAGAAAGGCATAATAAAGTTAAGAGCCTGGTGCTTCTGAAACAATCTACACCCCATTTTTCACAGTGATTGCCCTTGGGTAAAGAGTAGGGCAGATAGCAGGGAGGCTATACCCTGTACTTCATGTAAGTAAGTAGCTATTACTTTTGTTATCTTAAAGGTGAAAAAAAGACCTAAGTGTTCCATATCAGAGTCAGAACTACCTGGTGCATGTCTGCAATCCTAGCAGCTCGGGAGGCTAAGCCAGGAGGATCCCAAATTCAAAGCCAGCCCCAGAAAATTAGTGAGGCCCTGGGCAATAATTTAATTATTCTCTTGAACTATTAAAATTGAATAATTATGAATTTCCAGGAAGTCATTACTACTTCTTCACTATATCTCTTTATAATAGAACATCAACATAAGGGAATTTGACTTAAAGATGAAATACTAAAATTTATTTACTCCTTTTCTTTAAAAGCAACTTAAAAGTAGACGTGTTGCTGAACACTTCTTTAATCTGACATAGATGAGTGTATCATAGTCTCTAAGGCAAACTTTATTCCACTTCCTAGCATATGGGATTTATGATTCACAAATTTCTCCTGAGCTGCTACAGAAAAATGCGATGGATACGAAACTTAAGCAATACAAAAATAAAAATTTTAAATCCTGGGCTGGGCTTGTAACTCAGTGGGCTTGCCTAGAATGTATGAGGCACTGGGTTTGATTCTTAGCACCTCATATACATAAACAAAGCTGCTTCTCAGCTTTGCTGCAAGCTCAACTGGTGCTGCTGCCATCATTCAACAGAACCGCACTGGCAGATAAAAAGCCAAGGCTTGTGGCTTGTGGTCTTCAACCCTTGAATGAGAATTACAAGTCATTTACAAATAAAAAATAAAAGTAAAATTTATTTTTTAAAAAAGTAAGATTCTTGTCCTTAAGAAACATACCATTTCACAGACTACAGGTATGAAAACAATTATAATAAATTTGTTTTTTGCTCCAATAAGAGCATTCACTTATTTATCATATTTTTTGAGTAATTACTGTGAGCTGAACACACAGACACAGTTTCTTTCTACATGAAGCTTAGAGTCTTGCAAGAGAGACAGATGAGAGGTAAACAAAAGAATAATCACCACTGCTGAATAAAGTAAGGAGGAAAATCAACAAGTCGCCTTCAGGGAACTTATAGGACAAGGTGCAAAGAGGCATGGAAAAGGAACATCTAAAGCTACCTGGGGGACAACTGTCTTTCCCATAGTTAGTTGTGTTAGGAATGAAAGAATAGGAGTCTGCCAGGCAAAGGAAGAAGGGAAATGTAGTACAGAACCCAGGGATATGCAAAAGACAGATATGTGAGGAGAGGCAGAAGTCTGGCCTAGTGGAGGTAAGAGGGCTGGAGAGCCAGGCATAGTGGTACACGTCTGCAATCCTAGCAGCTCGGGAGGCTAAGCCAGGAGGATCCCAAATTCAAAGCCAGCCCCAGAAAATTAGTGAGACCCTAAGCAACTCAGCAAGACCTGACTCAAAATAAAACAAAAAGGGCTGAGGATGTGGCTCAATGGTTAAGTACCCCTGGGTTTAATTCCCAGTACAAAAAGGCTAGAGAGGCCATGTGTATCCAGCACTGTTACTGACCTTCTCTCCTGGGGAGAGTAGAGAGCCATGGAAGATTTCTGATCAGTGCAAGTAGCACAATTAGATAGGCCTCTTAGGTAACTCAGGCTACAATGTGGAAGATACATGGAAAGGAAGGAGACTAGATGAAGGGAACCAGCAAGAAGGTTATTCTTTTTTTTTCTTAAATTTTTTAAATTGTCAATGAACCTTTATTTTACTTATTTATATGTGGTGCTCTGAATTGAACCCAGTACCTCACACATGCCAGTCAAGCACTCTGCCTCTGAGCCACAACACTAGCCCCCAAGAAGGTTATTCTAATGGAGTATTCTAGAGGAAAAATGAACAAAAGCAGTCTTAGTGGGGAAGGAAAAAATATGTAAGATAGGGAAAGTATTTACTTAGTATCCATTTATTCAATAATTTATTTTTGCCTGGGAAAACTTTTTTCTTATTATCTGAACATTTTATTTCTAGAAATAAGTATAAAAATAGAGTGAAAGATATAATGAAGCCCGTGTACCCGTCACCCAGCATCAAGCAGTATCAACACTTGGCTTAGTTCTTATTTTGATGGTTCTCTCCTTTTTTTTAACCCCTAAACTTTTTTGCAGTAAATCATAGACAACATAGCATTTCACCAGTACATGCTTTGTAATTATCTTTAGCAGAGATGGTCTTATTTGTCTTAACAAAACTGCAATGCTAGGATCACACCCAACAAAATTTAATATTTCCTCAGTGTTGTCCAGTGTGTGGTCTGTGTCTACTTACTCCATTATTACACCTGGATTGTCCAGATCAGAATAAAAAAAAAACATGACATTGTATTTATAGGTCCCTTCCATCCTTTTATATATCTAATAATCTAGGAAGATAGTCAGGAGAGAGGGTCCCCAGGACTTGTGGTAACTTTCCATCATCACACATTTTTACCTGTTTGCTTAGTCCCTTCCTACTCACTTCACTCAGCCCTTACAGGAAAAATAGGATCCAAAGTGCTCTTCCCAGAGACACTGAAGGTATTTTCAAGGAATTTAAAAAGAAGTCCTGGCAAGACCAATGCATAGGCCCTGTGCTCAGGATAAAGATGCTTCTCAGTGGTGTGGCAGCAATGGCAGCTTTGCAGCTGCTTCCTCTGGAATATTCCTCCCCTGTCAGGTCAGTTTTACATTTTTCATGCATAACAAATTATTTTATTTTACAGTTAGAAAATAAGCCTGAAATGCTAATGTCTGCTGAGTGTGCCTAAATTTATTTCATGGTTTCAGGATCAGAGAGAATACTAGGGCTCTTGTACCTATAGCAGGGAGGAAAGGGGCTAAAAATGGGGATCTGTTGGTCAATACCTAATTCCACCTGCTTCTCAGCTTTGCTGCAAGCTCAACTGGTGCCGCCACCATCATTCAACAGAACCTCACTGGCAGATAAAAAGCCAAGGCTTGTGGCTTGTGGTCTACAACACTTGAATGTGAATTACAAGTCAAGGTTTTACTACTCAAGGCACACTCTTGAATTTGATAATTCAAGAACTCAGTTCTGAAAGAATTTCCCTTGCCCCCAGTACTGAACCCAAGGGCACTCTATCACTGAGTTACGTCCCCAATCATTTTTATTTTTTAATTTTGAGATAGGATCTAACTAAGTTGCTCAGGGTGGCCTCAAATTTGGCAATCCGCCTGCATCAGCCTCCCAAGTTGCTGGGATTACAGGTGTGCGCCACTGCTTCAGCTTCCTAAAATACTCTCATAAGGTATCAGTGATTCAATCAGTTCTGAAACTGAAGGATAATGTCTATCAGGACTTGAACTTGGTTTTGAAAAAATGGTGTTCACTTCAGACTCTGGGACTTAGAGACAGCAAATTTGAGGGCTTCCACCTTCCCTATCAAAATGGAAATGCAAAAACAGGTCTGAGTTGTCCAGTGGGCTTGGGTTACCTGAACAATGTTCTCACCTGGAGAACTGGCAAAGGACTTCTCTCTGATTCCTGCCAATACTAGCTTTCAAAGCAAAGTGATGTACCTGGTGGAATCTTCCATGGTGGAATAGTGTTAAACCAAGGACACCATCAGGAAAGCAATACAAGGAGGAAGGGAAAATGTGACTGAAGAAGGCACCTGGCTATGTCTATCAAGCCCTAATGTTGAAATGTGGGTGTCTCCACAGCAGCCTTCCTCACACGCCAGAAGCTGTGTTCTGCTTTCCTTGGTGTCGATTGGTGTCACTAAACCAGTATTCACTATTTCATGGGTGTATTGTCATTATGAAAATATGAGTGACTATATCAGCAGGGAAGTTTGCAACTAGTGCCTGTCATTTTTCTCAATTAAAGAATTCTATTTCCAAGAGTGTTTTGGTCAGCTTTTTCACTGCTGTGAATAAAAGATCTGACCAGAACAACTGTAGAAGAGAAGTTTATTTGAGGGCTCACAGTTTCAAAGATCTTAACCCATAGACAGCAGGCTATATCCCTTGGGGTTTGAGATGAGGCTAAATAATATGGTGGAAGAGTGTGGCAGAGGGAAGTAGCTCATATGATGATCAGAAAGCAGAGAGGGAGAAAGACTCCATTTGCCATATACAAATATATGCCCAAAGCCATGCCCTCCATGCCCACTTCCTCCAGCCACACCCTATCGCTTCAGTTACCACTTAATTAATTCCTATCAGGGGAATAATTTATTAGTTGGGTCAAGGCTCAATCCAATCATTTCTTCTCTGAACCTTCTTGCATTGTCTCACACATGAGCTATTGGGGGATAACACATCTAAACCATAACCATTGTTAGAGAGCAATCTAGCAGAAAATTTCTGCAATCAGAAAGAGGGAAAGGAATCATTTATAAGCACACAGAGGATCAGAGAGTACGAATGTATGCATATACAACTACATACATATTTTAATTTTTTTTCATCCTGTTAATTACAGCTTCCTACACTCCTAGACAGCAATTCTCAAGGCATCAACCTGAGATCCTGGGGAAAAATAGTATCTGATCTATCTCCAAGAATTCAAGGAGTAAGTAGCCTGATGCTGGTAATTTTAATTTCTTTTTATGCAATTTTAACATACTTAGGATGACAAATAATGGCACTTCACTCCTGTTCAAAGTGAAATACATTTGTTCTTTTCCTCTAGCAACTTCAGAGGATCTGTTCATATCTTAAATTGTCTGCTTCTACGTAGTACATAAAAAGAAAAGAATCATCCTTATGATTCTCCACCTGGAAAGAAATACCTCCGGAAATAAGTAATTTGCCTGGTCTGGCACAAATCCTCAGAGAACTTACCATTAAATCTAAGTTTTTCTAGTACTGAGATGGTCCATTTTTCTTTTATGATCTTAAGATCTACATGAATATATATATAAAAATAGTAACAGATCCTTATATGGTACCTATCAGCTTTACTCCTAAGTGCTTTACCAATATCTACTCATTTAATTCCCCAAATAAGTGACTTTTTGTGTTATTTATAAAATATGTGCACATTTTAATTAACACCTGATTCTTTCACTCAGTAGTTGGTTGATGCTGGAGATAAAGTGATGAATAGACAAACACAGTTGTTGCCTCATGGAACATACATCAACAGGGAAGAGAGATATAAAATAAGCAATTCTTAGATATGATTATTATAAAAGAATGCAAACTGTGAAACATGGTTTTCTTTCTTCAGTATTCCCAGCTGACTTAGGCTCAGACAACTTGGAAAATTGCAAGGTTAGAATCTGTTTTTTATAAAACTAAACTCAACTTGGGCAGGGTAGGAGCAATACTGTGGCTGAGTTGAAGATGGGCCCATTGTACTGATGGCCACTTGATGCTGTGGGAGTCTTTAACATTCTTTCCTTCATAGCATTTGAAAAATTCTTATCAATATAATAAAGTTGAAGTTGACAGAGAATGTAAAAAACTTCCCAAAGCATATCAACAATCTTAATTCTGTGTGTGTGTTTTCGAAGATTCTTTGCCCGTCTAGATAGCAAGTCTTAGCTTTTGTGAATTAGGCTGAAGCAGATGGCCTGGTTTATATTAATTAATATTAGACCATTTGACCTTAAAACACCCCCTTTATCTCTGAGTGCTTTGGTTAAATGAGCAACATAACCCCTTCCAAGATTGTCATGAGACTCACTGTTGTTAAAGCAATTTGAGATTCTAACTTTATTATTGAAGCATAGTATGTAATTATAGGCATGTCTCATGTGTGGAATTCACATGGCAAGTGTGGTATGTGGACAAAGAAAGGGACAACAGAGAAACACCACTTATTGCAATAGGGGAACGTTTTCCATCTTACCTGATTGAGTCCTAATGGTTTTGTAAATTCCCAAGTGCCTTTCAAAGTAACTAATAAGGTGAATTTGGGGAATACAAGCAGCATTTTTTAATTTGTATTTGCCCCTAAAGCAAAGCCAGATGGCCTCATGGGAACCAAAGCATTGGCAACTTTGACAGTTCTCAGTATCCCAGATCTACCTTCAAAGGACAAGGCCAGCAAGTGCAATGACCCCCACATGGACAAAAGGCATCAAGCTCTTCTTGGTTGTTGCAGAATTTGAAAAGTGTTCTTCCAAGAATGGAGACTTAATCCAGTTCCTCAAATCTTAAAACACACACACAAATCACAAATCACAAATTTCACGTAAATGGAAGAGTTCACATTTGATAAAATTAAGCCAATAAAAAATAATTTTCCAAATATAGGGAAATAAATTCTAAACTATTTAGACAAAGAAATCCACCCTGACCTTGTCTTTCTAGAATAGAAGCATTCCCCATTATTTTATTTCTCAGTTTCCCCCCAGCATCCTCATGTAATTGAGTTGAAAGAACCCAGGAAGTAGTTTACAGTGAAATAATTTCTGCATTTCCCCAAGGACATATTCTCTAGGCATCCAAATATATAGAAAGGAAATATTAAAATGATATTGTTAGACCATGATGCAAAGAAAAGACCATTGACTCCAATTAAAATAAAATTAAAGCAAGCTTATTATTTCAACCAGCCAGGCTATCTCTCCCAGCAAAAACCACGGGAGCCAAAAATAGCACCAAGCTTTCTAGAAGCCAGCTTTATGGCCCAGAAAGTTACACAGAGGATCTTACAGATAACAAAATTATGATAAGCATAACACAAAGGCTAGTTCATACTTTTTGCTGGCTCTGACATCAGAATTTATGAAGGAAGGCCATTACAGCCTCAGCGAGGGTCGTTATCTGGCCAGGGAAAGCCAAGATTTATGAGATGCCATTAAAGTTTCAAAAAGGGTTGTTATCTGATGCTCAGTATTTGATTTTTTTTTTTTTTTAAGGTTCGTCCTTTTCTCCCAGTCCCTAAGTCGATGGCAGGGATAGCTGACAATATAGATGTTTTCTTTTAAATGTGAAAGTCAAATATATATATGGAAGTCTTGATTCTTGCTGCTTTAATATACTCAGAGCTTCCCCTTGCCCTAGTTTATCCATCAGCCAAGTGTTCAAGACCAGCTGTGGGTGACCAGACCTCTCCTGCAAAATGGTGGTCCACAGACCTTCACACAGCTGATGAGCATCCCGTCGGACCTTCTGTGTGGGTACCCAGAGGGAGGGGGCTCTCGGGTGTTCTCCTTCAACTGGTATGAAGACAATAACTACAAGGCCTTCCTAGGGATCGACTCTACCAGGAAAGATCCTCTCTATTCTTATGACAAAGGAACAAGTAAGTTTTCTGACTTTTGTGCACAAATCAGCCTATGATGTTGGCTAAGATGATGGTTTAACACTTTCAAATGAAACCAGTCCTGGGACTGACTCTCCCTTGGTGTTTTGTGGCATTGGGCAAACAGACTTTTCCCAGAAAGTCTACTTCCTATTGTAGAAAGAGAGTAGTACTCAGAAATAAATAAATATTCTGGATATGATCCATGGAAAGCACTGAGGCCCACTTGGAAAGGTAACAAAGGGGACATTTCCCACTGATATTATTGAACTTGGGTTAGGCTCTAGAGAAAGAGAGAATGATAAATGAGGAGTCAACCCAGAGTTGAAAGAAAAGCTAAGCTCAGATGACACCTGGCAAGTCAAATTAGCTGGGGATATTTTTTGGTTTTGTTGTTTTATAAACATAAAGCAATGAAAATCTGTGTGTGGGGTACTCAAATACATTCCAATGGCAAGTCACCTTCCCTACTACTACTACTACTACTTATCATCATCATCATCATTATCATCATCATCATCATCATTATTGTCTCCTAGGGTAAAGCATGGTGGAATGGGGAAGAAATGCAGATGGTTGACACTTTAGTTAAAAATTGAAAGACAAGAGCCCTGAAATAGCTACATTAAAAAAAGAAGGGAAGGTGTTGATTGAAAGGAAATCATTGAGGCTAAAGCTGAGGTTCCAAGGGGGACCTGTTTGGCCTTTCATTCCCTTTCATCTGAGGTTGGCCTCTGCTCCTTGCAGAAATCCCAAGCAGGCTTCCCAGCCACTTCCTTCTAACAGAATAAACTACAGGGAAAGCCCTATTCTTTGTTTCACCGATGAGGCCATTATCTAGAAGCAGTGTGGCATTTTGTTAGGAACTAATGAGCTTCCTCTTGGTGGGGTACAGCCTACTAATTTGGGTTATTCCTCAAATCATCCAGGGTGAAATTGAATGACACGTGTGATTTGGATGCAGTAATATCCATGTTTAGTCATAAGAAAAAGGGACTTTCTAAAAAAAAAAAATTGTTTCTTCTCTTCTGGTAGCCGCCTTTTGTAATGCATTGATCCAGAGCCTGGAGTCAAACCCTTTAACCAAAATAGCCTGGAGGGCAGCGAAGCCCTTACTGATGGGAAAAATCATCTTTACTCCTGACTCCCCTGCAGCCCAAAGGATACTAAAGAACGTAAGATCCCACAGCTGGTCCTGTCTCTCATAAGCGGACCTCCAGTGTAAGCGTCTGTGTGTGTGAAGGGGGAGGGGATATACCTGCAGGCTCTCCTCCCAGTGAGTCCTGTATTTGTTTTTTGCTAGTGGACTCCTGGATTTTCTCCCCCATCTACAGCCATCATAGGAATGCCTTGCTCCCCTGCCCCTGCCTGGTCCTCACTCCCTATGCAGCCTACAATAAGGTTTTCCTCCCTGATGCTTGAATTACATCCCTAATGGACAGATTCCCAATTCTCTGAATTCTGGCTTCTTGGAAACATCACAGATAGGAAGGAAGAGTATTTGATCACTAGGAGTCCCAATATAGTTTTAATGAGGTTCTGAGAAAATGACATCAATATTATATATACCTCTGAGATACTAAGAAATTAGATTCTGTCAGTCTGGAAGGCTGAGAAATTGTCATGTCCTGGGAAATATCAATAGATTGGGGGGGAAAAAAAAAACAAAAAACATTACTATGGAAAACCTTTCCCAAACTTTAAGGGTTACAACAGGACAAGAAAGATACAACCAAAGGTCCTTTCTCACTTTTTTCTCTTCACTCTTGCCTCTTTCCCTATCTGGTTTTAGGCCAACTCAACTTTTGAAGAACTAGCACGTCTCAGGAAGCTGGTCAAAGCCTGGGAGGAAGTAGGACCCCAGATCTGGTATTTCTTTGAAAGCAGCACACAGATGACTATGATCAGAGTAAGGATGGCTGGCACTAGAGGGTGGAGAAGGGGGAGGCAGTTTCCTTCTCACAGGAAATCACCAGTTCTGAAAGCTATTGCCAAGTGGATTCACTGACTTTAGATAGGAATTGTGTTTCTCAAGTTCTGGGGAAAATCTAAAAGGTACCACAAGACCTATGGCTTCCTGAGTTTCTTGCTTTTATGAATTCACTTGAGGGCCTCAGATTTGAATGGGCATCTCCCTAAGGGGCCAACTCTATTACTGCAAAAATGGTTGAGTGTGTTTGTCTGACCCCATTTGTGACTTTGCAAAGTCAAGAGACAAAGATTCTATAGTTGGGCGTGGCAACACACCTATAGTCCCAGCTACTGAACAGCTAAGGTAGAAGGATCACTGAAGACTGGGAATTTAAGGCCAGCCTGGGCAACATAGTGAGACCCTGTTTCAAAAACAAACAAACAATCGCAACCAAAAGAAAAAGGAGTTCTGTATAGCAGAGATAATGAAAAGATAACAAAAAAACCTATAAAAAATTTAAAAGGAAAGCTGGGTACAGTAGGGTACACACTTGTAATTCCAGCAACTCTGGAGGCTGAGGCAGAAGGATCACACATTTGAGGCCAGCCTCAGCAATTTGGAGAGACCCTGGGTCAGAAACAAAAAAAAGGGCTGGGGAGGTAGCTCAGTGATAAAGCAACCCTGGGTTCAATCCCTAGTATCAAAATAAATAAATAATTCTAAATATTAAAATTAAAAAGGAAAACTTTCTCTATATCATTTTACATTCTCCACCTTTTATGTCTACTGCACCCCACATGTGTAATCTCTCCATTGTAGGGGCCCATGTGTTTGGGGAAAATGGGATAGAAGTAGGTGTATCTTGTAATTAATTAGAGGTCAGCATCTGTTGGGTCATGGAACCTTGTAATTAGCTTTTTAAGGAGCCTTACAGTCTCTATCCCAAATCATTAAAATTTAGAAATGATGTAAGAACAAGTCCAAATATCCTACAGAATTTCTATAACAATATTTTTAATGCATTTTTTAATATTTATTTTTTAGTTGTAACTGGACACAATATGTTCATTTTATTTTATGTTTTATGTGGTGCTGAGGATCGAACCCAGGGCTCCGCACATGCTAGGCAAGCGATCTACCGCTGAGCCACAATCCCAGCCCCTCTATGACTGTATTTGTTCTTCCCTAGGACACCCTGGAACACCCAACTGTAAAAGACTTTTTGAATAGACATGTTGGTGAAGAAGGTATCACTGCTGAGATCCTGCTGAACTTCCTCTATAAGGGTCCTCCAGAGAATCGGGCTGATGGTATGACCAACTTTGACTGGAGAGACATATTTAATATCACTGACCGTTCCCTCCGCCTGGTTAATCAGCACCTGGAGGTAAGTGAAGCAGGCCACCTGAGGGCCTCAGTGGGACCCTTGAAGACAGCCCTATGAGTGGAACCAGAGATCCCTTAACCAGTCAAGTAGTCTTTGGTTTAAGCTTTCATTTTCCTTAGTGAAGAAACGAGAATTCTCATAGCCCAAAAGATGCTGACCTCTATCTAATACCTTCTCCACACTTAAAAAGATTTCCTTTTTACATCTCCTGCTTCCTAAGTGCTCTGTGACTCCTTGACTGGCTCTTCCTCCCTTGTATCTATCCTGTATCTGTCCTGTCTACCATGGCTGCACTGACCATCTATTGACCAGGGTCCACCAAACCTGAAGTCCTGAGGCTAGCTGCTTGCTGGCAGCTTCTTCCCCACCATTCTACAAGCATATGAGACTCAAGAAGTTAAAGAAACAAACTCATCTCCCTCTCTATCAAACCTATCCTTCTGCATTTCCTTTCCTGATTAGCATCATCAACATTTGCTCAAATTCTCAAGCTCAGTATTTTAGAATCACACTTAATTTTCTTCCTTCTTCATCTCCATCTGAGAGCAGTCTTTTCTTGAGTGTTACTCCATGCTGAACACTGTGCTTCATGCTTTTGCCTATAGTAGCCTCCTAGAATTCTCACGGCTCTATTAAGTGCCCTGCATTATCACTTCCAGTTTACAGATGCAGAAGCTGAAGGCTAAGGATGTTGAATAAGATCCAAAAGCTTTTAGGAGTGTGGAGCAGAATCCAAATCTGATTGTGCCTGGCTTCAGTGTCGCCTGAGCTTTGTCTCCTCCACCTCCTAAATATCTCTCAATTCTGTCTCTGTTTTCTGGAATCTCTGAGGATTAGAAGCCTTGTCATCTCTGTGCTAGCTCATGGCTGCCCTGGATTCCAGAGTCCTATCTCTGCTGGCTCAAGCATTTCTTCACACTGACACCAGAGCTACATTCCAGATGCACATCTGCTTGCATCACTCCCTCATTTAAAATCTTAATGATGCAATTCCCAAAGCACTTGGCCAGTGCCTCTCCATTGGAGGTGGCTCAGCTTCTGGCAGTCCTCCATGGTCATCCTTACACCAAAAATTCCACAGAAAGAGGGAATGGCTTCCCCACCGCACAAACAGTACCCAGAGAACTCCCCTTCTGGCCAGGTTCCCATAACTATCCCTGTCCCCCTCAGGTGTGTATACTCCAAGTAGGAGGCCTGGGTTATATGTCCACCATGGGGAGCATTACTAAGAACAGGATTACCATAAACTGGGGGAGGGTGTTTCCCCAAAAGAAGAAAAATGAGGTAGAAAAACCACTAAAACTAATAAAACCTGAAGGGACTTCTTCCCTTTTCTCCATCTACTCATTCATTCTTTGAGTCTCAGTCCTCAAATGTCCCTTCTGCTTTAACATAGGTTAAATCATTTACTCCTCTTTCATTTACTCTATGGCTCTCTCTTCACACCTTTCAGACCCCTGTTCAATTCAGTTAGAGTCATTTTCAAATTCTCAGCTTCACATCTCCAGGGAATATCTCCATCTAAGGGCTGATCTTGCCACCAATGAGCTCTGGAGCCTGGTGTCATCTAAAACCATCAGAAGACAGACGTTCTAAGCCATAAAGGAGGAAATGAACTGAGAGTCTCTGGAACCAGCAACCCTCCTATCTCAGATGTGTGGGTCCTGAGGCAGACTGCCTAGTGAGGAGGAACCTGGCTGTGCTTTTCTGGGTGCCCTTGAGGACTCCCTGCTGCCCTGCAGCCACTAAGAGTTCCCTAGGGATATGATCCTCCTTCTCCATGACCCTGGAAGTGTTAGCACACACTCCATAGGTGACTTCTCACAAGGTGCCGAACATTGCAGCAGCAGCATCAAAGTTCAGGGAATTACAAAGCCATTCTCAAGTTGTCTGAAAACAAAAGTGACCTTGAGCGCTTTTCATAAAACACATTCCTAGGCACCAGCCTAAATTGACTGACTCAGAATGCCCTGGGAAGAGGCCTGCTAATCTCTATATTTACACAGCTGTTAGATCTGTGGAGTCTTGGGATTCCTGGGCATAATTAATTGACATCACTCTCCTCTTAAAGTGCCTCTACCTGCTAAGCCCACACTCCTAGCCAGGCCCACCATCATTCACAAACTACTATGATCCAGGCAGGACTGAACAGGGGGCTCCATTCCTTTATTCTTGCAAAATAGAGTTCAGTAGTTCTCACAGTGTTTTCATGAGGTCCTATAATGAATACATCTTAACTTTTTTTGATTTGATTATTTGTATCTTGATATAAAGGTCTTATTTTCTTGAAGTATTGCTTTCAAAAATAAAAACAGGTAGCTTATGCTTAATGTAGCACCAGGAATCCAACAGATACTTAATAAATATTAATTACTCAAATAGTTAAGAATTCAGTCTCCAAACCCTGATGTTCCATGGGCTCAAATCTCTACTACTTTTTCCTCAGGTTCCATCTCTATAAAATGGGGATATTAATAGTACTTAACCAGCAGGCTTGTTTTGAGAATTAAAAGAGCTAATTGAGACAAAGCCTGTCATATAATAAGTAATTAATAAATGTTAACTTTTAAACAAAATACAATTAGACAGACCTCATCTAAATCAGCCCCTTCCACAAATGAGATCACGAAACTGCTAATTATATCCTGCCACCAGGACATTCTCAGGGCCTCTGAGTAAAGGCCACCTGGTCATAGGTCAGTGGCCTCCCCCACGGATTCTTCAGAGGGAATTTGATGGTGGAAGAACTCCAGCAGGTATGATAATGTGGTTTCTGATCTTTCTGACCTTAGAGGTGGGGAGGAGGAAAGTGAGGTGGTAAGGAACTAAAAAGACAAGATAGTTGGGTGAAGAAGCAAAAAGTCACTGTGATCTGCCAGGGATTGCTCTGCTTTTGTTCTTATGTTTTGGAAAGTCTGGAGGAACTTGGCAATCCCTCTACTCCCACCCTGAGGATCCCTCAGTAGCAGACAGGCCATGGAAATCCTTCCCTGGTGACTCTGTAGGTCTCTCCAGGACAGGGAAGCAAGTGTGTCACTGCATAGGTGGATTAAGGGCCGGCCTGGGACTCTTTTTTCAGTAATTGAGCTTGTACTAAAGAAAACAGAACACTTCTTCCTATGCCAGCCTCTGTTCCTGTATCCCTGACTGTTCCAAAAAAGAAAAAATAATCTATTAAGGAAAATTAAGCAAATGCACTTTTGAAAATGATGTCACTCAAATCAAGGTGGCACTGATTATGATGTTGAATAGAAACTTTGAGAACCAAGTTCAAATCTTTAAGCCTTTTGTCTATATAGAAAGTGACAGTGATTTAATAGATACTTTTCAATTGCTAGAAGGGCTAAAATCCCTTCCTTAAGGTGATGGCCTCCGTACTGAACATCCCATCGAGTCCAGTAATCAGAGAGTGTCTGGCACATAACATATTCTCAGGAAGAAATTCATCAAGACAAGGCCATGTGACCTCTTGTGTGTTCTAAGAAAGAAATACGAACACTAGTACACCAAAAGTATTATAGGAACAAATGGTTAGGGGAAAAAAACAATGCCAAACAATAAACATGTTTTAACAGTCTGTACAAGTGAGCAAACTCTCGCAGTCAAACTCAAAGAAATTCTGAGGTTTGCTCTTTTGTGGATACATTTTTTTTTTCTCTTCCAGGAGGAGAAAATAGACATATGAGGGAAACCCCTCTACTGGTGTTTCTTGTCATCAAACTGTAATTGAAAATGATTTCTCAGGTGAAATCATTTTCACTGTCTGTTCTTTCTTTCCTCCTCCTTGTTTATAGCTCAGCTGTCAATCCTGTGTGTTTGGAGTGAGTTGGGAAGGTTCAATGCTCAGAATCAATCTCTCTCTTTCTCTCTCCCTTTCTCTTTAAAACTCTTTTATCATCAGGCTTTTCTGATCTTCTGAGCAGCCTGTATGCACTATGTCCCTACTCCCTTGCATCCCCATGCTAGGGAGTGAGAGCCATATTTTTGTCATTCTGAGGACTTGCATATTTTAACAACTTGAACAGCTGGACAGTACAACCCTCAGGAAGAAGAGCAAGTCAGCATTTGCAAGCCCCCTGGGAATCCCCATGTTTAGACACACTGAGAAATTAACACCAGACCCAGAGTTAAGAAAACATTCAGTTTATAGGTCTCTTTGCCTTTCACTCATCTCCTGTGGCAGCAGCTTATCCTCTGTCTTTTGAGTCTCTGTAGCTGATGCTCCTCAAAGTCCCTTGGCTTTTGTGATTATCTGCAGTGCCTGGTCCTGGATAAGTTTGAAAGCTATGATGATGAAATTCAGATCACCCAAAGAGCCCTCTCCCTGCTGGAGGAAAACAGATTCTGGGCTGCTGTGGTATTCCCCGACATGTATCCCTGGACCAGCTCCCTACCACCCCATGTGAAGTACAAGATCCGGATGGATATAGATGTAGTGGAGAAAACCAATAAGATCAAAGACAGGTAACATTTCAGGCAGGGCTCAGTGGGCTCCTCCAAAGTCAGTGGGATTGAGGCTGGACTCAGTCTACAAATAAATACAATTGGTATGCAAGAGAAAATAAGATATGTTTGTACAGCTCAAAGGTGAGTCCTTGAGGGTTGGGGATGTAGCTCAGTTGGTAGAGTGCTTGCCTTGCATGTACAAGGCCCTGGGTTCAATCCCCAGCACCACACACACACAAAAAAAATGTAGAGTCCTTGAACAAAAGTGATTACAGAGTCTTGATGTGGCTCACAGCTTTGAGACTTAAACTGTGACCTAGAAAGCAGAACTGAATAGTTTGGGAACATTTAGGAGAAAGATATTCAGAGAGTGAGTCCTGAGTCACTTGTGCATGGGGAGTGGGTAAGCTGCCCATTCCTAGTCACATCCTCTGTTTCTCCCTCCTATGTCTTCTTAGGTACTGGGATTCTGGCCCCAGGGCAGATCCTGTGGAAGATTTCCGGTACATCTGGGGAGGCTTTGCCTATCTGCAGGACATGGTTGAGCAGGGGATCACAAGGAGTCAGGCCCAGGTGGAAGTTCCAGTAGGAGTCTATCTCCAGCAAATGCCTTACCCCTGCTTCGTAGATGACTCGTGAGTCCTAGGCGGCCCATCCTCCTCCTTGAAAAGCTAGTGGGTTCTAGGGTTGGGTGGGTGCCGGGTTTCTGTTCTTGCAACTAAAAGGCTCAGGGGTCACTCTAGTTAAACTGGGCTAACTGGGCTGCACGAAATAACCACACAAGAGACACAAATACCTTTTTGTTTGGGGTTGCTCTGACGGCTCCTCTGACCTTAATGGTCCGCAGAAAGAGAGAGAGAGAGAGAGCACATGCTGACCCCTTTTATTGAAGAGAAGCTATTCAAATGAGGCAAGGGGTCAGGTTTCAGGGGGCTGTGTCTATCTTCATGATGTCCACTGTCAGCAGGTTGACTGACACCTGGGTAGGCCACACCCAAGGGCACAGTAAGAGAAGGGGACACACACAAGGCACTTCCATGGAAGATTCTATCATAAACAGGGCAAGGGGTTATATTACAAAGGAACAAGTGAGCATAGCTTCACCCATGGGGCTGTAGCAAGACACACCCATTTCTGTGACTGAGCGCCTCAGCACCCAGCTGGGGAGTGTAACTCAGTCACCCCTAAGGTTGGCCTCCCACAGGTGGGTGCTCCCAAAGATTCAGTATGTCCAGAGAAAACCCTGGGGACTGGGTCCAGATTAAAGAGAATAGAACTGTGACTGAGCTGGCCCCCAGCTCCAGGCAAGGGTAAAGGAGAAAGTGAAGGAAGTAGGGAAAGAGCTGATGTTGGAAGTGCAAAAGAGAAGGTGAAACTTAAAGCCTTGGAAGTGAGTTTGGGGAAGGAGATATGAAGGCTATCTAAATTTCCCACCACCTATGTTAGGTGGGTTCTTGTCAGTGTGTTTGCCCACTGATTGCCAAATCAGAAGATTTAGATTCTGCATAGCAAGTAGGTCTGGCTCCTAGGAGCCTCAGAGTAATGAAGCTGTTTCCCTAATTAACATTCCCACAATGTATGCTTAATGAAAATGTGGAGGAATGCATTGGATGGGCCACTCTCCTCCCCTGGCCCCCTCAATCCCCAGGCCTGTCATGTCTATACTGTTTTGCTGAACATAGAATTAGAGGGTGATAGAGAGTGAGAAAAAGCTGGAGAGGAGATGGGAGGACACATTGATCCTGGCAGATGGGGTCAGAAACATTTCCAGGACAACAGTACAAAACTACAATTGGTTTATGGATTCAACTCCAAGGGTTGGGGGAGGGAGATTGAAAAGTTCACCAGAGAATGTGTGTATCTCTGGGGTTCAGGAAAGAGAGAAGCATGAACAGCCTTGAAGAAAGTAAGAGTCAAACTGCCAACTGGAGAAGCCAAGTATGGAACACAGGAAGCCCTCTCTCAACATTCTAGTCCAGTCAGTTCTCCAGCCTCAGCTCTGTGGAAAACCAGTGAGATAACAGAGGCTGTTCTGCAGTTAGTGTGGGTTTGGACAAAAGGCAGAGATGGGAAGTAGAGCCAAGGGCAAAAGCGTGGGTCCACTTTTAGGATCAGAATGGAAAATGGGTGGGTGTAGGGTGACATTGAGTTTGGGGTCATTCAGTATGGGAGAGTCCTCTGGTGGCCATTCCTGAATGTGCATGCTTTATGAATGCATGATTCTTCTCCCTGGGGCCGTTTTAAGTGAAACACATGTACCCTGGAATCAGGCCTTTCTTGTGTCAACACCCAACAGTTTTCAATAATAATAATCCCAAAGGCTTTTCCAGAATGTTACACACAGAGAAACATGTGAAAATAATTTCAATATACCAAATTTATCTTGCTTGCTGGAGTATATATTCAAGAATCTACCTCTGCATGGCTGGTAGAATCAATGGCTATTGGATCACTGATTTATTGATTGGTCAACTGCCATCCAAAAAGGCCACACTGATTGGTTATATTTGTGCCTCTTTCCCCATTACTAAGATAAACCAGAATATAACCTTTCAGGCAGACAGCGCAGGGCTGACTGACTTCCCTGGAGAGCCCAATTGTCCATCTCACCTCCCTCAGTTCCCCTTGGTTTTGCTCCACCCTCTTGGGCTTCATTGGCAGTTTACATGTACCTCTCTCTTCCAATCACCGCCCACATCATCAAATCTTTTCCCATTAGTCCTTACAGGGAAGATCTAGACCTATATTGTATGACATATATATGTGATTTACTTACCCATTTACCTGTAGACTGTTTATCTACAGGTAACCAGAAAGCCACTGTCTTTCTTAAAAGAGAAAGTAATGCTTCAGAGAAAATATGGAATGTATTAAAGGATCCAGCCCACTGAATGCCCAATGGAGATTTTTTTCTTCCTTTTTACTCTATTCCTTCGACAAGTATTTACTCTATCTCCATCAAATACAGGATACTCTATTATTCTGCCTCTCTCCTCTTCCTTTAGTTTTATGATCATCCTGAACCGCTGTTTCCCTATCTTCATGGTGCTGGCATGGATCTACTCCGTCTCCATGACTGTAAAGGGCATCGTTTTGGAAAAGGAGTTGAGGCTGAAGGAAACATTGAAAAACCAGGGTGTCTCCAATGCAGTGATTTGGTGTACCTGGTTCCTGGACAGCTTCTCTATCATGTCCATGAGCATCTTTCTCCTGATGATATTCATCATGGTAAGCCAAATGGAAAAGGCCTAGAAATTTGTAAACAATTTTGTTCCTTACACCTTTCCTCCTGTTAATGAACTTGCACCTATTAGTCATCTGGTTACCAAGGATAGCATGACATCCAGCTTCCCAGTCCTTTCAGGCAAGGTAGAAGATTCTCAGAGAGAGAAAGCCTCCCTCAAGGAGTGTATCATGACACCTTCCTGCCCCTGTCTACACAAGATTTTCCAGCCCCATTCCATGCCTCTCTGGAGAGGCTGCTATTAAGAGAATCCAGCACAGGATGATTATGTGTTCAAAAGGGTGTTCTCTTTGCACACATAGAATGAGTTCAGGAATTTTTTTCTGAGATTATCATTCCAACAACTGGCTATAGCTGAAAGTGAAATGCCCTATCAGTGGTATTAGTGCAAGGGCCCTGGACTATTTATTAATCATCATCATGGCTATAACACTCATGGCTTCACAAAATTTTTTTAAAAAAATGTGCTCCCTATAAAATCATCAAAACATCTCTGCTTTAAAGGATGGTATTTGGGGACTGGGGTAGTGGCTCAAAAAAAAAAAAAGCTTCACCATCTTGTAGTGAGTGTTCCTCTGTACTATGCAATAGTGTAGTGATCTACAGACTTGTTGAGTGTCTCCCATCCCATACTGGACCACACCTGGAATCTCCCTGATCCAAGAATGTTCCATCATAGATCCCGTCCAACTAACATATCCATTTAAACAAGAATCCTGTCCATTCTCTTTATAATAAAATTCCTAAATCTCAGGGATTTTGTTTTATAGTGTTACATTGTAATCCAGTGAGCTGTGGCCTTACACAATGCTAAAGTTGAATGAAAACCAGTGCTAAGGTGGATAGAAGTCAATCTCAAACAACCTGATTCCACCTGGATGTGGTTTTAAATTTGCAAATGGGACCAGAGCACTACAGAGATGAGGGGACCAACTTGTCAGCAACTTTATTTATCTCATCCCTGGGTCTGTTTATTCCCCAGTGCCTAGATAATTTGTGTTCTCAGAACTAAAGGAGTAAGGGGCTGGGGTTGTGGCTCAGGGGAAAGTGCTCATCTAGCACTTGCAAAGCCCTGGGTTCGATGCTCAGCACCACATAAAAAAATAAATAAGTAAAATAAAGGTATATGTCCAACTACAACCAAAAAAAATAAATATTAAAAAAAAGAACTAAAGGAGTCAATATGTAAACATCTGACTGAATACCTGTGAGGCTTTGCCTGACTTGTTGCTAATAACTAACATGGAGATCTGCCTTCCTAAGAATGGACCATTTGGATTTCAAAGCTAGGACATGAGGTAAAGAATGGTCGTGAAGAGTTTCTAGCACAAAGGTTCCTCCTTGTGAGAATCAGAATATTAGTCCAGTGATAAGCTGAGCATTCTACACCAAAGTAGGGTTTTCTTTTGAATGACTTTCCCATCTTCCCTTGTTCCTTCCTCCCCAACTCAACAACTCAGGAAAGAAGCTGGAAGCAAGGACAATGGAAGGTTCCATTGTTATGCAAGCTGCTAGGAACAACAACATGAAACAGTGGTCATTGGTAAAAGTCAAAGCCAGTGAAATAGTAGTGTTGGCCAAATGACTTACATCCCTGGCTGAAGTCAGTGAGAAATTACACAACCTGGGCGTTTGTGGGATTTTGCTTTGGGCTGGGACAAGAAATTGATTTCATTCTTCTAAGAACAGAAACAACTGTCCTAAAGTTCTTGTAGTCAAAAGCCGCACGTTCGGCCATAGACTTACTTTTGCATGAGATTAAAGAAAGGGCATGGCGCTTTCTAGTGTGATGTGGAGTACTTTTGACATATAAAATCAGGGGTGTTGAGTCCTAATTTTGATTTTTATTTAGACTTCCTCAGACATTTGTTCTAATTAAGCACAGCTCTCTTCCACCTTCCTTTCTACACACACACACTCCTTTTTTCAATCTCTTCCTTTAGTGCCCAATAGGCTTAAGGACATGAAGGAGAAATGGTGGCCACAGCAGTAAGAGGTATACCTGTTCCACTCAACTCTTCCATGTTCATGACAGATACTGGTGATTGGTCTCTCTTGTCTACTGAGAAGAACCCAGGGCTTTATGGAACCACCACAAATAGACCAGAATTAATTTATGAGATGAACCCATTTGTTCATTTGTATTCCTAAGAAAAGAACAGGATCATCTATTTGTGGAGCTATATCCAAAGGGTTAAACTCCTCATAGGTTGCTAGAGTGAAGAACAGTGAAGAAAGTCTAGTACATTTAAACATCTAACCTTATAATGTGACTGGGCAGTAACTCACTTAGTGAGAGTTGCTAGTTTGCTCCTATTTTCTACATGA